CCGCACTGGATCCACCATTTTTTGATATGATGCTTCCAAGATAGCGAAAAGACTCTACATCCTCAAGACAGTAGTTGTTTATAATAAAATGATCTTGGACGCTAGCATTAATGCGCATAACTTTTGTTTTCGTAACAAGGTTCCGCTCTGTTTGCTGTAGTTATCAAACGATTTAGGTTGCGAGATATACCATTATATCTGTGTGCCATCAAACATAAGTCATCGTAATCGAGATCACACAAGCTATCTTGAAAACCCCAAGTTATTCCGCCACCTTGATCCAATCCCATCTGCCAAGACTACGTCCAGGACGATGTTGAACAGAAACGGCGACATTACGCAATCCTGTCGAACGCCGATTTTTATGAGTATTTTGTCGCTTAGATATTTCTCGTGCAGTATCCGGCAATTTGCATCCTCGTATAGGGCTTGAGCCTGATGATATTTTGCGGCACACCCTTATGAACAAGCGCATTCCAAATGATGGTGTGACATAGTGTATCAAAGGCTTTTTCGATGTCTATAAATAATAAATAAAGAGTTGATCTCCATTCTACAGACTGTTCGACGATTACTCTTAGGCTGTTTATGTGATCAAAACAAGACTTGTGTGGGCGGAATCCAACTTGTTCTCTGCGCAAAGTTGCTGTTAATGCTGTTGAAAGTCTGTTGATGATGACATGCGCTATTATATTATTAATCATGTTCAACAGAGTAGTGCCTCGCCTATTAGTTCTTTCTGTGAGATCGTTCTTTTTTGGAAGCTTTATGATAATACCCTGTTTGACTTCGGATGAAAGGTTCTCTGACTACCAAAAACGTTCTATTAACGGGTGGACGATCTGTGCACTTGTATGTGGGTCAGTTTTCAGAAGTTCCGGTGCTAAACCATCGGGTCCTGGAGCTTTGCCGTTCTTTAGTGTTTTTATTGCACTTATAATCTCTGCAATATCGGGGCAGGAGGTGGAAATGTTGCTATTTTCAGAATGACTATCACAGTCGCAGTGCAATTGAGCCTCGGAACGTTCATTTGTTAACATATTACTGTAAAATTTGGACCACAGATCCATTTGTTTGCATTGGTCTGTAACCAGTACTCCATTCTCGTCTTTTAGCGGCTTACTGCTCCTGGTGTTATTTTCAGTAAGCTTTCTAGTAGCTTTGTACATATCACTTCTTCTATGTAGTTCAGCTGCGGTTTGTGCTTCATTGGCTATATTATTGTACCACTTTCTTTTGTCGCTACGTGCACTGCGTTTTACTTGCGTGAACGGTTATATTGCTTATATTGCTGTTGTAGGGCTTGCATGATTTATTTCAGCTTTCTTAGCTTTTCTGTTTTCAATTAAGCACCACGTTTCCTCTGACATCCATTGTTGGTGTGAACGATTATAGAAACGAATTTGGTCCTTAGCGTCATCAGTGAAGATGGTTTTGACAGTTTGCCATTCCATGCACTCTTCGGTAGTTGTTGAGTTTAGTGACGTTTCAAATGACTGGTATACCCTGTCATAATACTGGATATTTTTCTTCGGCATTTTGACTTTCTTGTCACTTATTGCACATATATTTAGTCGTATGTGGCGCTGATTAGGTGATCGCTAAAAAGGTCCGCTCCTCTGCGATTCCGTACATCCAGTATCGATCCACGCCATTTCTTAGAGATGGTGATGTGGTCGATTTGATTTTCAGTTCTATGGTCTGGCGACATCCATGTGATTTTATGTATGCGCTTGTGCGGAAATATTGTCCCTCCTATAACCAAGTTGTTCGTTGCGCACATTCCAGTAAATCTCGAACCATTTTAATGTTTTCTACCGATCCCATGTTTGCTCATACAGCCTTCTAAGCCCGTGTTTTCAGCGCCAACTTGGGCGTTGAAATCACCCATTACAATTAGTAAATCGCCTCGCTGAACACATGAGATAGCTTTATCAAGGGAGTTGTGAAATTCCTCCTTAATGAAAAAGTCCGTATCTTCGGTAGGTGCGTAGCATTGAATGCAAGATACATTTCTAGCTAGGGTCCGTAATCTTATGGAAATGACCCTGTCTGAAAAAGCCTGCCAGTTCATCAATGCTTTGCGGGTCTCTTTTGAGAGAAAAACCCGACTCCATTTCTTCGGGTCAGGTTTATTCCACTACCAGAGAAAATTAAGTGTACCCGCCTGTTGTTGTTTATTAAGTTTGTAGATTTGAAATTCGTTGCACAGCTGCGCAAGTCGTGATGATTCGAAAAGTGTCTTCACATTCCAGGTTCCGAATCGTGTATTATTTTTCATGCTCAAGCTCAAGGTCGTCATCGATATGTTGTTGCTATTTCTGTTATTAATTATTACGGTTTCGTTAATCGGTTGATTTAAGATTGGCAGGTGATTGGCCTACCGCATCCGATTGGGGCTGCCAACTGTTGCCTCCAGAGCGACAGAAAAATGATGTGATAGTACTCCTTTTGAAGGTATGCGAGAGCCGCCGTTGACCAGTTACGGTTCCTCCGCCGCCATGTCTTTTACAGACTCCTGTCTAAGCATGCAACTCTATCCGCAACCTACGACCTCCGAATATCCAGTGGGTAGCCTGCGAGTAGAGGTTTTTTTAGGGAAGTGACCTTCTTTGGACTGTTTGGTCTGCGGGAGGTATTTTATTTTCCTCCTACCACTCGTTAAAACGAAATGCATCCGCTATCCGCCACCTGCGACGCATCCTCTAGGGGTTACAGCCTCCCCCGAAGATTTTGATAAATATAATAATAATTATTAATAATATAATAATTATTATTTTTGGAGTTTTATGTTAAAACGCGCGTATATAAAAAACATGAAAAATATTAAGAATGAAAGTTGTTCGAATGATAACTATATACTTAAATATGAGTTCAGACAGCCTTTTTTCCTGCTTTTTTGCTTAAAAATTTTTGAAAGATCTGTTATATTCGCTCCCTATTTAAATATATTGTGGTGTCGGTAGCCGTAACAATTTAATACCACAATAACAGCAATTATATAAATACTTCGGAACTAAATCCGTAACTAAAACATTATATCACATAACTCAAGCCTACAGTATTAAATGTATGGAAAAGCCTGTTTGACCCTACAAACAAATCCATAATATATGTAGAGAGTATACATAAAAATTTAGATAATTGTAATTTTGACACATGTTAAAATTTCAAGACATTCTGATAATTTTATAGTAGATAAATTTACAAAAATTTTTTTGCGAAAAAATGTTGTTGAGTTCAAATTGTGGATTGATAAGTCACTATTTAATTTCTACAACAAATTATAAAGTATCTGTAGCAAAAATAAACCGATTTTTGGTATGATGAATTTAAACAAGATCATGCAAAAATAATGCCACTGTACATTCTGCAGTATTCCAAAAAATATTTGTAAATGACCCTAAAGTGATATGACTGAAAAAAGCTAAGATCTTGAAAATATCAGAAACGAGTATTAACAATTCAACACGCAAATTTGAAGAAACGTAAGTTGCTTTTGAAGTGGGTTACGCGTTTGCTTATACTGGACCCAAAAACAAAAAGTTACAAATCGATGAAAACAATACTCTTTGCAGAATGCGATAGATCCTTAAAATTACGTGAAATATCTGACACATTAAAGATATCAGAAAATAATATTTGAGTATCGCATTTTCTTTCATCCAACCAAAAAGGTTAAATTAAATGTATTTTTTTCGATTTTTCACCCATCTTATTCTCTTTAGGTCTAGTCTCTAGTAACTAGTAGATGCAGTCATATTTTTTGAAATCTAGGAAAGAGCTGTGACAAGTCGAATTTCACAAAAATGTATTTTTCTTAACAAGATCGAACACCTATTGAGTGATGTGTAATATTTTTTAATTGAACCTGATCGATGCCCGGACTGTAATTTTTATTCGTTTCAATACTATAAAAGTCTAGTTATTTGTATATAATTAAACATATCTGTTAATGAAATCTGACTGTTTAAAGTTCACATGTACTATGCACAAGTACTCTTGATATGAATCCTCTAATAGTTGAAATTATAAAAATATTAAAGAAAGGGTTAATTAATCAAAATACACAAATGAAAGTGATAATGATATAAAGTACAAGAAACTACTCCACATTTAAGAGGAGTAAAACAATAAATGCTAAATTGTTGTATATTTTAATTATAAATTGCATAAATCATTTGAAATCCTAGTTTTCTTTTATTTTATTGATTATTTGATTATAATTGTTCACTAACACAAATAGGGTGGAGAAACTATATCATACACACATTCCATGGGATTTCACTTTGTAGATGAATTTAATGAACTACCATATCACGATAAATAGCGGAACTTTTTAATAGGTAATTTCTCTCTTCGTGGTTTATAATCTATCTTAACCTGCTTTCTGCTTATCGTGGTCTTACGTACAGTGTTATGATAACTTAAAATGTGATTAGTAGTAAACATTATTAATAAAAATAATAAGAAAATTAAACTATTTTAGTCAAAGAAAAAAAGTAAAATTTTATGAAAACAAAATATTTTAAATTGTGGCAAATTTTAATGATTTTCACATTAGTTCAAGTTCTCCAATTATGTCATTGTTTATATAAAAATATATTGTTACTCTTAAGAAAACTAGATTGTAACTAAATGACTATATAATTATTTACAATAGAAATGCAATGCGAGTGAATTAATTTCTTTCTCAGTCTTTTTTTCGTTATCTCTCTCTTTCCTTAGCGCTCTCTATTTTTACAGATCGTTTTATTTATCTCTCCTTCTACTCTCGTATATTAATGCTCCACATACATATTTTAGTGTCCACCTATCATTTTATATAATCAAATGGTATAAATCAAACAAATTTTTATAATGTACAATTTTATTCTACAGCGTAAATTAAAAATAATTTAAAAACTTAAAAATATAGTTCGTTGTTAATAAATAGAAAAAGATACAAAATTATTTTACATAAGTAGTGTAGACTAGTAATTTGTAAAATTACTTAAAATAGTTTTAACTAAACAGTTCTATGTGTAGCTAATCTTTTGTATGATCTCGTATCCAGTCCAAATATTGTGTAACTCTCGTATATACACCAGGATAGCCCGGTTCACCGCATTTATTACCGAACGATACAACTCCAAGTTGTACCCAATGTGATTCGTAACGCATCATAAGTGGACCACCGGAATCACCCTAAATAGAACATAACAGATAATATAATAATTAATTTGCTGTATGACAAAATACAGTTCCACCTACCTGACAAGCATCAACACCGCCATCAGAATATCCAGCGCATACAAAATTTTCATTGATTGGTTGGAAATACGAACGGTCACAATCTTCATTACGCCAAATTGGAAGTTCCGCTTGTCTTTGTGTTGTAGATTCTTTTCCGCCATAGTACGTGGTACCCCAACCGACAACAGTCGCTCTACGTCCTGGTAAGCGTTCTTTTGGTGGCATGCGAGTACCTTTTGGTAGGCACACTGGTATCACATACTTTGATTTGCGTACTGGTTTATCAAGTACCAATATAGCAATGTCGTTATAGAAACCAATTCTTGAAAATCTGGAACAAAAGTTTTCATTGTATATCAATTCAATTTGATTTTGAAACCTCATTTACTACCTCTCATGTGCGCGAACCTCCTTAACCGCAAATGTAACTGGTGCCGATGGCTCATTATCTGTTGATAGATCAATATCACCCAGACGTACTGTAAACTGACGAGCAGCAAAACTAAAAAGACGTGAAATAACGTAGTTAAATAATATAACTGCATATATATTTATACAAAAAACTTACGGTTTCTGTCTTGAATCCCGCGTGCAATGTGCCGCTGTGAGTATATATTTAGTGCCTATTAGAGAACCACCACACCAAAATTCTGTACGTTTAGGTCCATGTAAAAAAATTGCCGCCATCCATGGCCATTGTCCATTAGGTGCCTCTACACCACCTACAATACGCCCAGTTGAATATTCCTGCTGCCCACATTCTTCTGGATCTATTATATTATTACCACCCAACAAATCTAATTCATTTGATATAACATCAAGTGGATTTGGGGTTGTGGTGGTGGTAGTTGTTGTTGGTCGTTGTTGTGGTATTAACACCAAACTTGGATTTGAAGCTGGTTTGTGTGTAGAAGGACGTGCAGTGGTTGTTGTTGCTTTAGTTGTTAATTTTAACGGTCTTTGAGTAGTTAATATGGTGGAGCTTTCCGGAATTGGACAACAAACGCCTGGTACAAAAAGACTCTTAAAACATAGAGATTCTCGCAGACTGCTTAAATTTAATAGCAATGCTGGACAACTGCTAAGATCTTCACATCGTCCTGGCCTACCGTTTGGAGTTTTACAACGATTTTCGACATCTTTGGCTGATGATTCGTCAGATGCCAGTGGTAATAAATCTATAGGTTTATGTGTTGTAGCTAATGTTGTTGTGGTTGGTCTAAGTGTTGTAGGCAATTTACTTAACTGGATCTTAGCAGTAGTGCCTTCTACTGGCAAATCAGAATTTGGTTTCTTTATTTTATTTTTATTCTTATTCTTCTTTTTCTTCTTCTTTTTTGTGTCTTTCGTTTCAATAAACATAGGTTTACCAAGTGGTTCTTCTTGACCAATACGTTTAGTTGCTACTTGTATGTTATTTATGCTGCCATTGTTTCTTAAGCTATTCTCATTTAAATCAGTTATAATTCTCACGGTGGGATTAACATCATTTTCTGTTCTAACTGCTGCAAATGCTGTTGTAGTGCCAATACTTTTAATATTTTCTGTGGTACTAGAAACTTCCGTAGAATCTGACTTAACATCATGTCCACCACGTGTCATATCTACCAGTAGATGTCCAACCGTATTCAAAGCACCCAAAGTCTCAGATATACGATTAAATGCAGATTGCGACAATAAACGTGGCACTGATTCATCACTACTACTTTCGCTTATGCTCTCATCACTATCCTCATAGTATTCATCATCATCATCTTCATCTTCAGAGTCGGAATCAGATGATAAAGATGATGTTTCTGCAGTTCCTGTTTCATCTTTGGCTAAATTTTGTGCTTTACCCACTCTTCTGGCACTATCATGTGAGAATGGAGACTGAAAAAAAGACGCTGCCTTAAAAGTAGTTATGAATCCAATAGTTGACACTATACTAGTTTGCTTAGCAATTACTAAGGCATCTTAACTTACCTTGATCGTTCATTAAGTGACGAGGTGTGTAATCATCATCAAAATCTTCATCAGCTGCTAATGTTCTACATATAACGAAGCAGGAACTGATAAGAACTGAAAGCAAAAATAATATTTTCTCATTCAAGTTTTCTATTTTTTAATTAATGAAGTGATAATTAATGACGTAGCTACATATCTGAGTAAAAAGTAAACGATGATTATTTATCTTAGTAAAGGTTAGTGAATAATTGATGAAGTCATCTACAACTACAATATTAAAGTAATAAATCACTCAATAGACATTTTTCACAGAAACTTATCTTGAAGGAGGTCATCACAATATCATGTCATTCCTTGGCACGAGTGTTAGTTCATTGAAACTAACACTTTCCTAAGTTGAACAATTTAAGTAGTTTTAATATGCTGACGCCGTTCATTACAGGTTATTGTTTGATTGGTTATTGTTTATTATTTGCAGGGACATAGTGACTTAGAGAAAACTATACAACAATATATATGTCAATGCCAAGCTCTCTCCAAATAAAAACGTGATTTCTTGGGAAGTTTCTTCCTAAAGGAGTTGGCAGAATTAAATTTGGTTAATCTACGAAAACTTTCAAAATTTTTTATTTAGACCAGATGGTTAATAAGAATTGTGTGGGAAAATGAAAGATTATCCCATAATATAGAAAAACAGGTCCAAAATTTCGTGAGTCCCAAGACTGCATTTATGGGGTCTGCCTTAATAATAAAATAACAATATCTGCACATATATTGGATCTAAGTTGAAAACAGACTTAAAACGTAAATTAAGTGAACATATTTACTTCGTTATTTGCATGTATATGTATATTGGAAACAACACTCAATAGACAATAGTCGTCTTCGAGGGTAAGATTTCATATTCGCAATAATACGAACCATTTCAATTAAATGTGACTTATTGATATAAATTAAATTTAGGACAATTTTTATGAAGTGTACTGTTTTCACAATGAACCAATACCTTATTATTGTTAAGTAAAAACAAATTCACGAGTTTAACTCTTGGTGCTTGCAGGCTCAAAAAATTATGTACAAATAATTACATATAAGAAATAATTTCAAGAAATTCACTTAATTAATAAATTATAAAAGTTGAAAAGAATAGTTTATATTAAGAATAAAGGCACTCTTTATATTAAGAGTATCCTACGTCAAAAATCACGTTAAAAATCAATTTAATATAAAAAATAAAAAATAAAAAAAATGAAAAAAAAATTGAAACAATTATAAAAATTTTACTTGACCCCGGGACATAAGTTGCTAGTGCTTAGCCTTTAGTTAGCTAAACTATTGCGTTAATTTGCATTTCACTGCCGAAATTTTATATACGAGGGCAGTTTGATAAGTCAGTGACTTTTTGAATTTCCCGCGCAGTTACTCCAAATACAACAGTGCTGCCGTCAGCTGTGATCTACCAGTGGGCAACTTTTTAATTTTGAGCAAGCTACGACGTTCAGTTGGTGTTTGATAGCCGTTCAAAGCAGAGTCTTTTTTCCATTTTCGTAAAACTTCACGAGGTTGTCTGCTTTGAACGGCTATCTAACACCAACTGAACGACGTAGCTTGTCCAAAATTAAAAAGTTGCTCACTGGTAGATTACAGCTGACGACAGCACTGTTGCATTTGGAGTAACTGCGCGGGAAACTCAAAAAGTTGCTGACTTATCAAACCGCCCTCGTAATATTGCGTCAAAGTCCAAAAACTTAATATTAAGTGCAGTTTTGTTTTAATTTGTATTTAATTGAAGTATAAAAATATATACATTTAATCTAAAAAAACTGATGTAGTTACTTTAGGAAATGATTTTCAGTGTTCTTTCCTATCGTTTCTGTTTAAAATTTCTATATGACATTTTTTGTGTTTTTGAATGATTATACTAAAATATATTATAACCATAAATATTTATTTTAAAAATTCCCAGAATTCATACTCAAAGTACAAAAAAAATTTGCAATGTAAAATAATGATAAACGATTCATTCACAATTTGTGTATAATATTTATTATTAGCTTTTTGTTACGTACAACTTAAGTGAAAGTGATAGAAATTAATTCAATGCTACTAAAAGAACTCGATATTATTTTTTTGTAAAGAGAATTATAATTATAAGAAAAAACTTTTCAGTAAAAAATATAAATTAAATTAAATATACTAACAAATTTTTATTATAAATAAATTAACTCAGCAATTTATTATTATAACATAATTGATATTTCTCCTGAAATAATTCATTATAAATGATGAAAGCAATTTCATTGAGAGTGAAAATAAAAAATTACTTCGAAATTTGCTAACACAACATTTTGTCTATTCTTCTATTATAAGAAACTCTTCTAATTATTTAGACCCAAGAAAAAATTTCTATTTTTGATTTAAAAAAGTATCTTTATAATAGTATCTTAAAAAAAAATACATATTGTGTTATTATGTTCTTTCACAAGGTAAATTACTTATTGTATATATAAACTATTTTACACTGCAATTATTATCAGTTGAATTATTTGTAACATTTCGTTATATTTTTATTTACCGTAAAAACCACACAAACTAATGATTTATAGTTATACATAATGTTTCCAAAAAATAGCTTTGTTCCAAATTAGGTGCTTTTGGATTTTACTACAAATAAAGATAATTTCACATGTATATGAAACTAGTTGTATGAATAGAAAATAATCAACCTTGACTTTAATCGTTTATTTGATTGGCACATTTATTAAAGCTAATTCATTATCAATTTTTTGGATCTATGAGTGCTCTTATTAATATTTGTTATCAGCAGGGAAATTAAATACACTTTCATTTTCACATTTAATTAATTCAAAAAATAGAAAATTATTTTAAAAAAATAATAGATTTGCTATATACCGAACCTTTCAATATTTGTACACACAGATTAATTTGTTATTAAATAATTATTTACTATCAAAGAGTCTTATATACCATTAGAGAACATAAAATTCTGGATTCATTTGTTTACTATAAATAAATCTATAATTATTATTTATAATAATTATAATTATGATTAATTATATGATAGTGCATAAATTATTTGTGCACTATCAAAGATTACACAAATCTAGGTTCTAGAGTAATACTTTATTTTTCAAGACACACGTTCAAATTGATCAAATACATGTGTTTTTCTTACTTGTTAAATAAAACCTATTGTAAATACAACAACTTCAACAAATTAGGGACAGAATATATGTAAGAACCTTTTTTGTATCTATCTCTATATTCTACACTATCTTAAGTCTCATTCCTAATTTCGTTCTTGATGTTCCTCTTGATTATCCTTTTTTTTTAATGTTTTTTTATTTGATCTTATTGACATTAAGCATGATCACATGGAATCGTATTAGTTAACCTATATATCCAATATTTTAAAAAACTTGAATATTCTTGGAAAATAACAGTAATATCAGTTATATAATTTAGAGTTATAATGATTGGCAACACCATCTCTCGTTTTCAGTCGATTTATTAGTCAACTTTTGCAAAGTGAGAGCTTAAAAGTAATTGATTGGGATTTTGACGGATACTGCCAGCTATATCGAGCAACATTTTATACCACCCACAAAATCTCTATAAACAATGACTTTTTTTGTAATCCATGGTACACTTACTACGACCTTCAAGATCATCGGTTATAACCTTTGCAGTATTTCAACTTTTAATCGAAATAATGTTTCTTCACATTTGAATGCCATAACTCTATATGGACTTTCTTAACAAATTATATACTAGAATTTCGCATTCAAGTAGTAACTACGATGATGCTTTTATAAGCTAATGCAATTCTATATAGCTTCTATATACTTGTTCCAAATCAGAATTTTATATAGGCATGATACAAAATATTTCACGTAGTCCCTCAAAGTTTATTTTTATCCATTATTTTATTAACGGAGCTAGTCACTTCGTTGTAGGGTAAACGTTATAAGACTGCATTTTTGATTAATGTATTTAATATGGCATGCTGAGAGATGGCCAACACTCGAGGTGATGAATATGGTTTTGCAGCATGAGTTGAGATCCTATACAACAATACAATGTTGTATATAACATTGTATTGTTGTTTGTCAGCTAATATTGCAGGTTTTATTTGTTCACTTTTATTTAAACTTATTTATTATTTATAGTAATTATTTAATTTAATCTTAATACAGTTCTTGACTCTTTTTTATGAGAATCTAACGTAATCTTTATTTATTTTTATATGCATGTAATCTAATTTTTATTACAAAAGCCTAGAAAAACCCAAAATTATATTAAATATCTTCAGAAAAGTTTTTCCATATATTATGCAATTTAGTAACCAAGAAACCTGAAAAAATACAGTTGCAATACATATCAACGTGAGATTATGTCACTACAATAAGATTACACACCAAGTGCTTTTTGAGTGAAATATATTACAAAAATACTTCAACTCAACCATGAACGCCAATCAGTCAGCCGCGTTCGTTATGCGTGCGTTGCTTACTTAAATAAAGATCGACAGACGTAGACTTTCCCACAACAAAACAATAATCACTGAGCAAATAAAAATTTAAATACAAAACAAATTGGCTCAAAAAGTAGCTTAAATATTAGAAATGAATAAAATAACCTTAAAACTACAATAATAATAATATATTTCCTTACGAGTTACATAACTCAGAATCGCTAGTCTTGCCGATTATAAGGTTGCTAATATATATGCATCATTTCAGTATAATGCATTTTTTATTTTAAACTTAATTTTATTGCACCAATTAAAAAAATTGATAAAAAATTTATTTAGAGGGTTTTCGAATAGCAAAGAAAGAAAGGGAAAACACAAAAATTTTAGTTAATTTATTGAAATTTGGCTAACCATACAACGCTGTTTCGAGTATTGTCAAGTACGCAGCATCTGTGTCTAAGGAAATTATAGTTAATTTTATTAGTTTAATTAATTAGTTTATAGTCCGTACGTATATAATTTGTTTGGACTGCAAGTGCCAGACTTAGACTTCGTACCTGTCAAATTTGAAGCGATGACTAAGAGTGTTTATCCACAAGTAGCCTAGTTTTGTTTATCCACAGTGCTCTAGTTCCAGGTTTTTTTGTCACTTTTTTATTTAATTAATTACATTAACACTAGTCATGCTTTAATTTAGAATAAACTTATAAACTACAGCTTTATTTGGAAGCACAAGTTCAACGAATTGAGAGTTAACTCTCTCTCTATCTCTGTCTCTCTCTCTCTCTCTCTCTCTCTCTCTCTGTCTTTTTCTCTCTCTCTAATACTAAATTGTTGGGTTCATTGGTTGACACCACTTTAGAAAACTTTTTAAAAATAGACATTCTCATGAATATTTACGTCGCGTCGAAAAACATCAACGGGGAACAACTGTCATTCATGACCCATATAAATATATACATTTTCGTATGATCTCGCTCTGTTAAAAAACCTTAATTAATTAAAAGTTTTAATCAGAGAAGACTGTTTAGTGTAGTCAAAGAGTTCCCACTTTATATCGAGACTGGTTTATATTTTTCAGTTTTTAAAATTGCATTTTACAAAATTGTTCAAAGAAATGAAAAATTATTTTCTCCATAAAGTATCTGCTTTAGGTTCGGCTTCATAAACTCTAAGTACTCATATAAATTACCTATTAAAATTAGCTTTCAAATCTTTAATATGGGTTTCTTGGCAATTAGTTAGTTTTTCTTTCGTGCAAGAGTAAATAAGCCAAAAACTTTAGTGCATTCTATTCACCGAACTAAAGTACTGAAGATGGGAAATCTAAAGTATATGATGTATGATTACTGAAAGTTTAAATGGTTCTTACTTTTATATGCATTTTTTCTTATGTATATTCAAAGTAAATTGAAAACAAAAACTATACGCTAAATTGGATTATACTACACATACCTTCTGGATTTTGTAAATAAAACACACTAGTTTAAATTTTATTACAAATTTATTTTATCTACTTCAAAATATGCTCCTTCTGAAGCGATAAACATATGTATGCCAACGCTTAACCCAATCTTCAACACACTTTTCGTAGGCCCGTGAAGGTATGGCTTTTAGTTCCTTCAGCGAATTCTCTTTTACCTATTCAATCGACTCAAAACGCTTACCACGAATGGGCAATTTGAGTTTCGCGAACAGGAAAAAGTCGCAAGGCGCCAGATCTGGCGAATATGGTGCCTCAGCGATGACATTGGTGACGTGTTTGGTCAAAAAAACGCGTACAACTAGAATTTTCCATAATAAAAATCGATAAATGCACTTGAGGTAGTCTCACATTAACAGCTGCTGTAAACAAACTAATGGATAGATGGCGCTCAAATTTGTACCATATGTCAATAAAGGGTGTACCAACATAACAACAAAAATTTTTGAAAAAGGTCTATTACATAAGGAGTAGATAACAAACCACAAAATCCGAATATTTTTTGAGCAGAAGATAAAGCAAGAAAAATGGCATAATACCATTGGTTTTCCCAGAAATAGATTGCGTTAGGCTAGGTTTTTGGGATCCAGAATGTTCGCAAACTATTGTGTAAGGTTAAGAAACTGATGCATGATCGAATAGTGATAAAATAAAACGATCTGTTAGCACTTTGGTTTGAATGTTAATCGTAAATTTTAAAATGCTTATTTTATTATAATATGAATTAACTATTTAACTTTTTAGTAAAATCATTATAAATTATAAACTTTTAACGAAACGAAAATCTCCTCTAAATTGCATTTAAATTATTTGTGTTGGTGGCATCCGTAACTTGTGCCATTAATGACTTTCCTAAACTTAACTGAATGCCAACATTGACTGCAAGTTTTATTGTTGTTTCACGTTGGGAAAACGCGTTTTTTTAAATTTTATTTTTAATTTATTTTACTGTTGCATTTTTTCTTGTTTATTTTATATATTGCTATTGCATAACTCAAAATAAGTTATCATGATATTTAAAAATTCCAATCATTTGGAACTTATAAAATTACAAATACTCCACTGGGATCTGCAACTTCAACTTCAACCACAACACCAACATGAGTAGTGGAAAAACTCAAAACCGCAGCAACTTTTGCTTTTCATGGCCACTGCAACTTCCTCAATTTCTCCTAAATTGCTAGTCACGTTTATTGTAAAAACTATTAATAAATATCAAAAACAATCATTTAATTTGACTAAGCACTAAGAAAACTAATTAAGGGTCAATTTTTGGGTTCAACTCAAATATATAAAATCGCTATGCATTGAACTTCTGTATACTCGTTTATTAGTATGAATAAGGAAAAAAATATTCAAAGAGTATTTTAAAAATTTGAGGTTCAAGGAAATCATCATACTTTCTTTTATAACTGAATGTAACTTATCACTCAATAATCGCTAGAGGGCAGATTAAAAGATTACCGGGTTTAGGGAAACAATTCAAAACAATTCAATTTAACCTTTGTTTTCATCGGCTTATTTTGTAAGGTATTGGCAGCTAAGAAAATTCTTTTCTTCGATTCTTTCTATGATAATCAAGTGTATGCAGATCTTATTTAGAATCGAGCATATGTCCTCAATTGAATTTGTTCCATTTAAAGTTGATCTGATCTGATCTTTTTGTTTAAAAAACCAAAACTCAAAACAATTATTTCATATTTTTTTTTTTACACAATGTTTTGCCAATATTTTTTTTACCATTTTTGACAGTTCTGGATCATACTCGTGATTCATTTACGTATTACTTTATTGTTTATAAGAAAATTACTATCAACACCTGAATATTGTTTAAGATTTTTATTCGATAATTAGTTGATAAGACCATAAAGTAGTAGTAAACTAATAGTAAGTAATAGTAAGAATCACTAGTAAAAGTAATAAACAGGCAGTGGCTAATTAGTTGATCATACGTACCAAAAATAAATGACAAAGGAAGTTATGAATACCAAAAGACACATGCCAACTTGCTACAGATAAGATACTGACCTATACTGAAATATTCTTGTTCCTGAAAAGAGTTATGGCATTGTCTATAATTTTGATTACGAATGAAGTTTTATTGAAAAAACTATGTTTATTTATATATTATGTTACATACATTTGCATATCTATTTAGAATTTTCTTGTTTATAAGTCGAATATAAATTAAAATTGTTATTGTTTTTAAGATTTTGTATAAGTCAAGGTAATGTCACTAATATATATACTATATCTTTATATAGTTAAATCATATCATCCTGTTATAATAATTTCCCAAGTACATATTGTTATGTTGTCTATATCTGTCCTTAATTCTCATTGGTTTCTCAGAACAATTTTTCGCTTAGTGGTCATTGAAAACACTTAGCTTTTATCATCATATTATACATAGCTATATAATCCATGTAAGACCTAAGCTTATTTTACAACCTTCCTCCATTCTTCCTTTTTTTGGTTTTATTTCCAGTTGATGACATTCATATCTTGTCAAACACTATTACTCCATCTCTTTCTCGGTCTTCCTTCTCTTCTCGTTGTTCTAACTTCACTCGCGAAAATTCTGTTACGTATTATCTTACCAGCAACCTCAAACATTTTTCCTGCTTGCAACATTGTTCTTACATTCCATGTTCTTATATGTATTTTCAAATCATAGGTTCTGGTTACGTTCCGAGACCTTAAACCATATCCTAGCTGTTAATATGTCTGGCATTTCTAGCTTATGCTCACACGAAACTCTTTCCAGTACTTTTGAATTTAAGTCGCATTTTATAACAGGCAAACCTTTCTATGAACCCATTCTTACTTCCCCGAACCCATAGAGGATAGTTAGCTTATATATAATAGTAAAAATACTAAGTGTCCTCCTTTTCAAATTTTTATTGTTGTGTTCTCCGACTTAATGGCTTATAAATTTTATTGTATAAACGTTATTATTAGAATATTATTTGATTGCAGAGATATATGGTATATGTAGCTTTTAATTGTCATTTTCCTTACAGTAAATAGTTTCATACCTTAATATTGTTAATAAACAAAGACTTTTGTATTCAAATATTCTTGTGAAAACTACAATTTACTTATTAACGACTAAATGTTAAATTTCTGTAGGTAAATGTAAATAAAATAAATGGGCATTAATTTATTTTGTAATTTCTCACAAAATAAATGTGATATATTTTAAATGGTTTTCACCTAAAGATATTCATCTGTGATGTTGAGAAATATCTACAACTGTTTTAGTTGAGTTGAAAAAAGAAATTGGAGAAAATTCTTTTAGATCAACAAGTTAACGAAATAATTCAAAGTATTTCTTTTATTGTTTAGCAAATAGTAAAAAAAATTTACTACTGTTTTAATTTATCTTGAAAAATGGCTTCAGGCTCTAAATGTCTGTATTGTATGCAAATTTAAAGATATTGGAGATCGTTGCGATATCACTTGGCACAACAGATATTTCAATTTCAATCTCACTTTCTACTCAAGTTGCTTTACACAAAAAAATTAAAGTAAAGCAAAAGTGACATTTTTAAGATTTTTTTAATTTAAATAAAAATAATTTTTTTTAATAAACACTTATATATTTAACTTAAAAAGTTTTAATAATACATTTCTTATAATAATTGACCAATAATAATTTAAATAAATTGTTTTGGTGCGATTAATATAAAATTAGTTTTATGCTAATGTTAAGTATTTAATGCTTTTACAACTAGTGCTATAAAATTAATAAAAGGTTATATATAGCATATATTCATTTATTTTTTTATTATTTATTATCCAATAAGAAATTAATTAATTTGCATACATTGTATCCATATTCTTAATAAGTTTTTGGGTGCAGAATTTTGAAGAAGAAGAAGTGTATCACAGAGAAACTGAGCTAATTAAACTATATTATATTATATATATTAATATATTATATATATAATATACATTGTGACCGAAAAGTTTCCGGTCATAAATAAATAAAACGCAAAATTCTTAATCTTCATCAATATTTATTTTATCTCCTTCAAAATATGCTCCATTAGAAGCGATACACAAATGCCAACGTTTCTCCAATCATCAAAACATTTTTTATAGGCGCTTTCCGGTATGGCTTTGAGTTCCCTCTGCGAATTCTGTTTTACGTCTTCTATGGATTCAAAACGCGTTCCTCTGAGTGGTAATTTGAGGTTGGGAAACAGGAAAAAGTCACACGGTGCAAGATCAGGTGAATACGGTGGCTGTTCGATGGTATTTATTGAATGTTTGGCCTTAAAATCGTTGATAATGTTGAACAAATTGAGGTGAATCGGAACAAGCCGGGCGTTGACACGTCGCATACACAAATTGTCCACCAAAATCAAACGAGCCATCTCACGACCGATGCCTAGCTCTCGTGCTATCTCTCTAACACTCACATGAGGATTTTTGAACACGATTTCCTTTGCCTTTTCAATGTTTTCGTCGGTGGTAGAGGTCGAAGGTCGTCCAGAACGCGGCATGTCTTCGACGGTCGTACGACAGTCCTGAAAGGCTTTGTACCACTCATAAACTTGAGTTTTCGATAAAACTGATTCCCCATAAGCCTTTTGTAGCATTCGCAACGATTCTGCACACGAAATTTCGTTCGAAAAACAAAATTTGATGCAAACTCTTTGTTCAATATTTTTTTCCATTGTTTTTTTCGCAACGCACTACTGAGGTGAACTGGTTTCAACAGCTGCCGTAAACGAACTGTCTGACAGATCGCGCTCATTTTTGGCATAGTAATTAAGGACAGTGCTGCCAAACTACATAAACTTAAAATATCGAAAAATATACAGCGCGCGAATTTTAAATGAGAACCTCCGAAAACCTTTCGGTCACAATGTATACTATATATATAAATATACTATAAGTATATTTTTAAAGCCTCATTTAATTATATTAATAAATAATGTTTTTTTTTAACTTATTGTAGCTTAGGTGCCTTTCTACTCAAGTTAAGAAAGAACGGGGTACTAGCTCCCTTCTGAGCAGAGCACTGCGACCATGATTGATCTTTTGTGCTACTTCTACTCAAGTTGCTTTACATAAAAAACTAAAGTAAAGCAAAAGTGGCATTTTTAATATTTTTTTAATTTATATAAAAATTAATTTTTTTTTTTGTTTTATCCTTTATTTTCTTTATATACATGTACATATACATGTACTAGGAGACTGATCTTCTACATAAGTGGTTTAAAGCTTAACGAAAGAATTGGTTTTGGGTCTTTCAAACTCAAAGACTTAGGACTGGTATTGTTTAATCGTTTCCCTGACCACTGTACTGTTTCTCATAAATTTGACAGAGGTGTTAGCATTGAATGAAATAGCTTTCTACCTATGCAAACAGATTATAATCATAGCAACGTTGAATATCTGTATATACTATAATGATATTATGAAATCGTTCGTATAAATTTGAAAGGTGCTCAGGATTGTCTGACAGTTGTAAACAATATCAGCACCGTTTTTGGAGTACGCCTTACAAGAGTTCTGGGACATAACGATTTTAATGTAAACTTGCAAGGCTGATGAACCTGTCAGATGAGGTACTAATTTCCCCCTAAGCATAGGCAGAAGCGATATTGGAATACCTATTACAACTTGTTAATTATTTTAAAGTCGATTTTGTTTTTTAGAATTTAAACTATTATTTTTATTTAAATTAATGATTATTATTATTAATTATTTTATTTTTAATTATATTTAACAGAAAAGGGACTCTAGGTTAATACTGCCAAAACTTAATAAGAAACTATCAAGAACTTTACTCAGACCAAAAAAGCAAGAAAGAAAGCATATTTATACGATCGTGTGATGTATAACTAATCACAATGATTTATTGGACACTATCTTATAAATATTGCAGATGCTATGGAGATGAGAAAGAGAAACAAACAGTTGAACAGCTTTTCTACAGCTATTCAGCTTTAGCTAGAAGCAGAACAAACCTCTTAGTCACTTGTCTTTAGCTCTCTCACAGAAATATCCAGCGCTACGATCAAAATAATCCTGCCTTCAAATTTTTCGTAATTCTTATAACGTTAAAGTTCTGTGTTAAGTAGTAGTAGTAGTATTATAATGAGATGTAGGGTCTAAGTAAGTTAGTTTATTGGACTTATTGTTTTTGTAAAATTAAAATTTTAATCAATTATTCAGCCGTAATTGTTGTTTGGAGTTTTTACAAGTCAGTTTGAATGATTTAACTATATTTGTTAGTATTTGAAAATCGCATACAGAGTCATTCTAAAATTTTGCTTTGTTTAAAAATGATAATTTTATTTATTGAATGGTGGAATAAATTTTTATTAGATAATTGAATTGCCTCGACATATATTAATTTTCATATTAATATTTATATTAATAATATATTAATATCTTATTCGCTTTTTTAACTAATTTGGGTTGGTGACTAGGCATTCAACTCTTTTTGAACTCGAAACTATATTAATGAATGCCTAATTTCTGGATGTAGGATGAACGTGTTCGCTAAGCCTTTTACTGTATCTTTACTTTACATCAATGAACTTCGTTTAAAAAGTTCGCTTATAAAAGTCTCTGTGAAGGTTTTTATTCCTAATAGCACCTTTAATAAATAATGCTATTATTGCTATTTAAAGCTTTATAAGATTTCTATGCCGAAACATTATCATATAACATTAGCATATAAATAAAAACCATGATTTAAATTAGTTTATTTGTACTAAACTTAATTAAAAATAATAATTGCTATCCTAAATATAAGATTTAATTGTATATTTTCAACACAAATTCATAATAACTAAAAACATATAATTTTATGATTAATTTAATGCATAGTTAATTGGTTTCATATAAGGAATTCCTCATTTTATTTTAAAACTGTAATTACAAATTTTTAACTTCCACAAGGTTTTTTATATAACCACTGAAAATACTTTTTTAATCTTTCTCAATAAATAAACTATATTAAAAAAACATTAAAACATGACTTTAATACTACATTACTTACTTGAATCTGATATAACTGCTAATTAACAAAATTTTATTACGTTGAAGTAAAAACTTTTTAAAAAGTGAATTTCTTACAACAAAACGGATATTTAAATATTATTATTATTTTTATTTTTGTATTATATTTTTGCACTTCTTCGAATACTTAAAATTGCAAAATAAAAACTCGTGCGCAAATAATTTTATTTAATTAAATTAAACAAGAAATACCAACAAAAGTCGTTGGTTGCACTCTCGGAGTCTTTAATTATTTTTGGCTTAACAAAGGCACTGAAATACTGAAATCGCGACAATGCACACCCAAATGAAGTGCAAAAGAGTGTTCATCTGGTTTTCAGTGTACCAGATGTCGGCCAACGTCTCAATGAATAGCACCCACAATCTTTGTAAATATTTATTATTCACTTTTTATTACAAATTCAAGTGAAAGTGACGAAAATTAAGTCCAATTTTTTATTGAAATTAAAATCAGTTCTCCTCATAACAAAAACTTTATAACAATTTGCAAAAAATCTTTTTAGTGTACAAAAAGTAACCAAAAAAAAAGATGACAACAACATTAAAAAGGCTTATAAAACTGCATTTTATTTTAATAAATTAACACATCA